ACTATATTAATGTTAGCGTTTAATAACAAAATGTTAACCAACTAAAGAAGAAAGAGTCTATAATATTGGAATCGTGAAAACATGCACTATCAATACAGGCTTAAATGACTAAGTTGTCACAAATCCATCTCTTTAGAGTGAGAAAGTGATAAGAAAAGGCAATGATGAATCAGTAACAACACACCACAAGTTACTCTCAAAGTGATGCCCTTTGCATCCAGTGAGCCTGTAGATGTGAGGGCAGAGACTCCCTTCATTGCAATACAACAACAGGGAGGGTTTATCTCTCTTTCTGAAGAAAGCTTGGCAAGTATCTACCATGCACTAGGCACACTGAAGACAGTCTCTTCCAACCACTAAGACTAGCAGTCTGTGGAGATGCTGCAAACTGTGTTGAGATCAAGAAAGTAAGTGGAATCTCAACTGTGTGATACTGTAAAAACTGCAGTAATTTCCGAATTACACATAACATGCATGTTTTATGTTCTTGATGTACAAATAGTTGGCTAAATATATTTACGCAGGTATTTTATATAAAAACCAGATTATATATGGATTATATCAACGGCCTGCTATTGCTTTATTTTTGAATTCAACATTCTTTTATGCATATATTCACAGTTGGAAAAACTGTAGACCACTGTCTCATAGACAGGGGAATAGCAAACAATAACAACTCCATTGCATTCCTTTCTTTTTGACACACATTCTATGTCGTCTTTCTACTTCTCTATTCATTTTCTTTTCCCTTCAAAGATGGAGTTTGTATTCTGAAAGCACAGGAGAATGAGCAGTGAGTTTGTGTTCAGGCAAACTGGTATTAACACCACAGCTCCATCACTTGTCAACAGCTACATGTTAACAATTAACTCATTTTCTCTTTTTACTCTTAAAAAAAAAACACAAACAAAACCAAAAAACCTCTCACAGTATATTGCAGAAACGATGTGAGGTGATGTATAATGGTTTCTAGATTCTGTCTAGTCATTTCCTTAGAAGGTATTATTCATCAGTCACTTGGGGATAAACAGAGAAAGAGACAAAACTCTGACAATCTGGAACAAAAAGTCTGTCATCCAAGAAGTCTTTGAAAAGTGACATGACAAAAGGGGGTTGAATTCTTGTGGCCAAAGAGTTTGACTTCAAGTTTCTAGCCGAGCTAAAAGATGCTTGACCAGACAGAGCATCTATCTTTCTTAAGTTCATTTGGGACGTGAGCAACAAAGGAGTTAATACATTTATCCATTTTTTAAAATATCCATTAATTTCAAATCAGTTTCCCACTTAATATTATAACTGTGGTTGATTTGTTTATGCTACATTCTATCTCTCTTTACATAGTTAAATACTTGCTGTTACTCAGACTTCTGACAGGAAAAATGCAATAACTGTTTTAACTAATTTCAAAAAGGAAACAGACTATGTTCTTGATAGTAACCTGAATCCAACTATTTAATAATGTATGAATGAAGTCATATACAACAAAATAATGTGCTATATTATAAATATCATTATATAGTATACAGAATTAGGAATTTGATGTCTAAAAGAGACATAATATATGCAAAAATGTTATATGAAAACTGGCATGAAACTGACTATATACTAAAAGAATAGTTTTAAATATATCATAATTTTAAATTAACCCAAATTTCCCCACATAAAATCAAGATATCAAAAATACATAGGCTTTTACTTCAGAATTAAGGTATCTTTTTTATTGCTGTTTCTTCTTTCATTCTACTAAAAAGCTTAAGCATGTGCACTGTAAGTCATACAATATTTACCTTTATGCATGTGGAATTAACAAAGAAATAGCAGTCATTCCCAACTTCTGCCATTTTCAATCTCTTGCTGCTAATCCAATGACTGTGTTTTATAAATATGTACAGATTGCAGGATCGCAAATATAAGAACTATCAGTGTGTAAGGGGAAATTGTTCTTTCTTTTCCACAGTCTTTCAGGCTATCAGTAGTATTCCTTTAAAACTGACCTCCGGTTGACAGTATATTACACAACAGCTAATTCTTAAATAAATTTAAATTAGAAGATACCTTCTCTAGCTTTGCAGAAATGTTGAAAGTGGTTACTAGTAATCACACAAACTCAAACTTCCAGAATTTTCCTCATTGTTACATAATCCATTGTTTGCTCATCATAAATGACCTCATATGCAACTGTAGCCTACTTCACCTACAGGAATATCTTCCTTACCCATTATATATCAAATATATTCAAATATTATCTGTAAATTTAACAGTGTATTTTATTTTTCAGTGTATGGTTAAAGAAGAAACACAAATTCATATTTTCAAAATTAAAATTGGTAAGTATTTCATGAGGAAATAGCTATTTGTATATGTGATTTGGAAATGGAACCAAGATAAATATACTATCTATATTCCAAGAAAACATATACGATTATGTAAATATATACCTGGTGCTATATACACCGACTTAGGAAAAACCATAGCCAGATTGTAATAGTAATAAACATACATGAAAATAAAAAGGAGTACCTATTCATCCAGTGACTTGGTTCCATTTTCATCCATCATAAAAGGGGAATTAGCTTCATCTGATAGCAAAGGGTTCCAGCATCCTTGAAAACTAGGAGAATTTGTTGAAAACAAGGTGAAGCCTTCTGATTCCCAAAGGGAGACATTTCGATGAGCAGTTTTTAGTCTCCATCCAAGCATCCTCCCTATAAGAATAAGAATCTAGCAGAACTGAAGAATATTCACCATAGGATAGGCCACTTAGAAGTTGACTGGTACTGACTGATCACACTGGACCAAAGTATGTTTTTAAATGACTGCAGACTTTTAATTTCTGAAAATCTCAAATGATCAAGACAAACACAGATTTCCATTGAAATAAAATATGGCAAATTGCCTTAAATTTTTTGGGTGAATGGTCTAGAGTAATAATCTAGAACTAAACAATTTAGCAAAGGTTAGTTTGCTTATAACTGTAAAATAAAAGAAACGAGGCTGTGTTAGAAATAAAAGAGGGGATAAAATTTGGCAAAGCCCTTGAAATTATTGATTAATATATAAACATAAGCCTCGTCTTAGGGTTTGCCCTTCTCTCTAACTCTTGAACAGCAGCAAGGTGCTCATCTTACGTCACAAGCTAGTCAGGGAAATTCCTCTAAGAAGTCTTCAAGCGTGCATCTCTTCCAGATGAATCCATGACTGAGTGTGAAGTTTCACTAGATGGCTTTCCAAGACTGGTATCAAACACTATTATTGCTGAATGAAGTGATTTCGCAGGGAAAGGGCTGAAAAATGCTTTTACCGCAGTTGCTGATGAGTAGCCCACATTCCACTAGACCTAGCAAAATCAGGTCAAAATCACAAAGGGATTTAAAAAAAAAAATTCTTTCATTGTGTAACACATTACATGGGTATCTTCTGTTAGTCCTTGGAATACTCAGAACCTTTGACTTTCCCTTTTTAGTTCTTTCCTTTCATTTAGTTTTACTTTTCACTTGACTTATATCCTGTTGTGGATTTCATTTTTTACAGAAATCTATGATTCTACCTTTTTTTTTTTTTTTTCATTTCTTGTAATGAGAAGTGATAGGAAGTTTTGTCTTCAAAAGCAGACCCAGAAATCCCAGATTGTGTAGGCCAAGACAGACTCAGGCAGACTTTCTTTTTGGTGTGTGCTAGGTTGCTAACGCATCAGAGAAGAAACATCTCTCAGTTATCCTGTAGTACCACTTTAAGGTCGGTGGCCAGGGGCCCCCCAACCAGCTCTGTATCTGAACTGGGGGAAGCTGATGGCTGCCATTCTTCTGAGTAACCTGATCCTGTGATGGTCTCCTGGTATGGATTCTTCTGTTTCTGTCAGAAGCCTTGTCCAGGCATTGAAGGAACCAAAATATTGCTGCCGGTCCTTTGAGGGAGAGGCTTAAAGCAGGTGGAATGTTTCTGGAAGATTATCTTTGCTAACACATGGCAGAATGTTGGATCTAGAATATTCTGTGGCAGTTTGGGAAGTGACAGTTGAGAGTTGGAAAGGTCATTTGATTGTCTGAGACCCAAGGGACAAGCTGTTGCTTAGGATTTCTCTAGAGTCTCAAAGAAATTATCAACTTCTTTGATTTTAAAGATTTTAAAAGGCTAAGGACTTATTTTTAGGGATACTTTATTCTTTTGAGAGTCCTCTGATTATAGATACTTCCAAGGGAAATAAGGTTATTTAATTTTTTTCTAAGTGCTTAAGTAAGTAAATTGCTGGGCAGTTGGATACGTGTTGATAAAGCAATTAGAGAAATATAAATTGGGTTGATGAAAAAAAATTATAGAAATAAAAATTGGCTTTTCCAGTTACCTAAGATTGTAAAGTCAAAAATCTCCCTATGATCTTAGGCTTCAGTGGCATGGGTCTACTACTAGAATATACTTTTTTTTTTCTTATATAAGCACCAATTTTATTATTTATCATCTAATGTCGTTTTGGACAGTAAGTCAAGTGAAACAAGATGTTTTTAGCCCTGTAGTTGACTCAAGCCCTTTGTTGGATTACCAGGAAAAACTTGACAGCTGTTTCTTGGTATTTCTATGGTTTTGGATTTGTTTAAATTTTACTCATTGGGAAGGACACCAAATTATACACCGTTTGATGATTAATTCAAACAGAAGCTTAAAAAAAAAATCCAGGTCTGTTCATTGTAGCATTTGTCTTATGTTCTCCCTGGAAAACCAGGTTTTCTGTCTGCCTGTTAGGAAATGTCTGAAAGTTCTTTCTAAACTTCTCCGGGTTCACAATCCCTTACATTTCTTGAAGAAAAAGCAGACAAGTGAGTTTCAGGAGAAACGCGCGACACTAAAGTGATTCATCACTTATAACTGGATGTTAATTCCCGAAAATATCACCGTTACTAAGTTGTGGCCCAATACACAAAACCGGGCAACGGATCTTTTCGTTTTTTTATTGGTCATCAAAACATAGGGGAATCACCCACGTGGAGGTGCCAGCTCTGCAGCCTCACAGGCGCACTACAACTCCCAGAATGCCCCGCGAATAGGCGGTCGCTTCCGGGCGTGCGTCCCCGCCCCTCGTCGGGGTGGAGCTTGGCGCCGCAATTTGGATCCCCAGGCAGCACCGAGATCGTTTCCCGGGCCGGTTGCTGCTGCAGGGCTTCCTCCGCCCTGGACCCAGCGCTGTGGAGACACGGTGGGCGTGGGCACCATGAGGCGCCTGGGCTCGGTGCAGCGGAAGATGCCCTGCGTGTTTGTGACGGAAGTGAAAGCCGAGCCCTCGGCCAAGCGGGAGCATCAGGTACCCGGCGGCGTGAGCTGCTGGGCGGCAGCTCCTCCAACGCTGAGCCGCGGCCCGGGAGGGGGCCCTCCAGGTTTTCCCGGGGAGGTTTGGGTGAAGTTCTCTTGTGCTCGGAGCTCCAGCTTCTTCGACCTTCTTCGTTGTAAGGAGTGTGGGAGAGATTCCTTTTTTTTTAATGTTCCACTCCCTGATCAGGTGATTCAAACTTGCTCTGACAGGTCTGAAAACCCACATCGCAGTTAATGTGAAAAACCTGAGTAGCGAGATGTGTCTAACTTGGAACGACTGTCGACCAAGAGTCTGATGAGAAGGCACTGTTTACTTGGGGTGTCCTAGGAACCCATGGCCCTGTTGACAGCTAGGCTAACGAGGTCACTAAAATCAGAGTAGTGCCATGTCTTGCTCAATTCTAACTTTTGAGCTCCCGTCCTAAGGTTTTCTAGTCATCTTGTGTGTTTTACAGAGACTGAGCCTTGAGTGAACGTAAGGGAATTAATTCATAGATAGCTTATTTCAGTGTGGTTCTTTGATATGTAGCGAAGTTCTTAACCCCTTAGCTCAGACACATTGTGTCCATTTCAATCATTTCCACTCTTTCATCGTTACTACTGTATCATTGGCCTTCTGGTCTTGTTGTTCTTGTGGGTTTTGTTTGTTTGTTTAATTAGCATGCAAAGTGGCATTCTCATACATAATTTGTGTTGTTCCCTTCACGGTCTCCCTCCATGTCTCCAGTTTGCGCCCCCCCTCCCCGGACACACACCATCACCTCTTTCACTTTTGTACTCTAATACTGCCTCTCTTTAAGAGCCCCATTTTCCCTCCCTCAGGGCCCCCTTTCTTGTTTTTTAGATTAAATGGCCTTTAAGACAAGATGCCCTGTTATCTTGTAGTCCCTGCTGCTAGGAACTGACACATGAATTAGTATTTGTCAAATTTCAATTAAAAGGACTCTGAGAGTCCTCCTGATAGTTTTCCATCAACTTGATGTTGTCTTACCTTTTACTTTTAACTGATCTTTTCATATTCCTTTCTCCTACAATTGTTACTACACTTAAAATGTCCTGATGCTGTTTACGGTACTACTTAATACATTGTACCTGACACCCAGAGTGAGTTTCACTATATTTTCTAGTAAAGCCTTAAGATGAGTACTCAGTGTCTGTATTGCTGGCTATTTGGAACAAAAGTCAGAATAAATTCAAGTACTCTAAAACATTGTCATCCTTGATGGTTCATTTTAATTATGATTCTCCACTTTGAATATTGGGGGTGGGGCATAATTTTAAAAGTATTATATACTAGGGGAAAAAAAAACCCTCTCACCTCTGCAGTTAAAACTATCTTAACAGCAGTGTTTACAGCATAGCGTCCAAATAATTATAGTCCAGAATCTCTTATTAATTAGGCCTAGTCTATTTTAAAATCTTAATGTTGAGTTCTTGTTTTCGCAACATCTTTCATCTTGTGAACATATTGAGTACACTCCTGTGCATTAAGGTTTTTCTCAGGCTATCCACTCTGCATAAATCGCCGTCAGTGTTGTCCAGTAGATCTTAATAAAACTGATCAGCTGAGTCATCCCTTGATTGGCTGTATCCAGAAATTGCACACCAGCCAATCGATCTTTGTTGCCTGTTTTCATACACAAATGTTCTTGCTTTTGCAGTAATAAAGTGTTTGGTCACAGGTGAAGGAGAAGTTACGATGCCCTTCAGAATCTTGTGTCATCCTTTGTCCATGTAACTAGCAGACAGTAGTAAAGAATGATCCTTGTGTAAGAACATTTCACACTCATTAACAACTCCATGGTCATAGTAATACTCGCACTTTTATAAATTTAAAAATGTACACACACACACACACACACATGCTGTTAGATTACTGTTTTGCCACGGTGGCTTAAAATGATACCTCTTGGTACCAGTATCATATATGGATGAGAAGTCGATCCTGAAGTAGAATATCGTGAACCTGCTACACAGGCCTGAGGACCTGAGTTCAGATCCCCAGCAGCCACATCTCTGTAATCTCAAGAGTGGTAGAGGGGGACACAAGAGCCCTAGAGCTTACCTACCAGAACCTCTAAGTTCAAGCTCAGTGAGAGACTATTGTCTCTGAAAATGAGGTGAACGATTGAGTACATCCAGTGACCTCTGTCTTTCACATGCACGCATAAAGGCATGTATTTACACACACATGTTCACACACATATACATACATATACCTCACACAAAGTAGTAAATCAGTAATGAAATGAGTATAGTATCCTAGTGCCTAATTTTGTCTGAACCACCATTTCCCCTTTGTTTTGTACAGTGTTTTTTTATTAGTATTTATTATAATTATTTTGTAAAGTTTAAATTCAGACCATAAAATAGTAGTGTCTCTCAGAAACCAAAAATTATAGCTAAAAAGTTGTAAGAATCTCAAAAGCAGCCTTTTCTTCCAGCCTCGATGCTTTATTTTCTTCCTGACAGTAGCAAGGTTATAAATGAAACTTGTAAACAGCTAATTGTTGGTAAAGATGAACAGAACAAGAAGGGAATACCAGACAAAGCAAGTAAAAATTGGAGGGAAACAGCAGGCAGGTGATTGTTGGTAGTTTTCAACAGCGGAACCTGGGAGCGGTCGAAATAGAAACCACAATCGGCCTCAGATGTTGAGTACGTATTTCGCCAGGAACAGAACCGAGTGTTTCAGTCCCAGGAGTATGGTGAACCATCTTTGATCACCTGGGGTAGACTTACCGTAATAGTTACTGGAAGTTTCACCCAGCAGGCAATGGCAGTGGGTCTTGGTCCTTTAAAGATGGCCTGCATACTAGGCAAATGTATTTCATAAAGAAGATTCAGCAACATTGTAGAATGGGTAGCCACAGAGATTTTTAAGATGGACATTGCTGTGGATATTGCTCTATATAAATAAAACACTGATGGCCAGTGACCAGGCAGGAAGTAGGTTGCCAGGCAGGAAGTAGGTGGGACAAGGAGAGAGGAGAATTCTGGGAAGTGGAAGGCTGAGGGGGGAGACACTGCAGTCACCGCCAGGACAAGCAGCATGTAAAGACTCTGGTAAGCCACCAGCCACGTGGCAAGGTATAGATTTATAAAAATGGGTTAATTTAAGATAAAAGAACAGTTAGCAAGAAGCCTGCCACAGCCATACAGTTTATAAGTGATATAAGCGTCTGAGTGATTATTTTATAAGTGGATTGTGGGACTGCGGGGCTTGGGGAACCTGGAGAGAAGCCCTGCAGCAACAGGACATCTTCAAGTAAGCATGTGGATTTCAGTTTGCAAGAGAGTCTTTTCAAAACTAAAAATAGGAGTCGTCTTCATCTTCTCTTTCTGAAAACATGGCCCAAGACAGAGGACATCGCGAGACTCTTCCTACAACTAAGAACCAAGTGTGATTTGAAAAAGTCAATTTTGTAAGGATCTCATTGAAGTGTAGACTTAAGTCTTGGAGAATTGTGATTGGTGAATCCATGTGCTGAAACCCCAGGAACACTCTGGAATGAAGTAAGCATGTGATTTTCCCTGCACTCTGTCCCAAACACAGAGGCTGACTTGCATTCTTCAGACACAGAATGTCCTGACTGTGGGCCTTTTCTCCTGATGTGTCAAATCTGCTCAGATGTCGCCTCCTCAGAGGGCTTCCCTGCGCCATTCTTTCTGGTTTTCCTCTTCAGAACTCATCAGTGTAATACTGTTATGCATCTTATTTGTGTCATAGCCCTCCAAAGTGTAGGTTTCACTAAAGGTGGGCACTTCTCTGTATTTCCAGTGTCACAAACGGTGCTTATTGCGTTTAGAGAATAATCACAATAGGATTGTGCATGTTGAACCCGTGCTGAGGATGAAACAGCATAGGACATGATTCCTGGTTTCTTTGTGATGGATGAGAAGCATGTAAATAAGAGTCTGCATGGAAAATCAAATTTTACTGTGATCACATTACAAAGAGTTGCAGAGCTGGTGTGGCAGGACAGGAGGGGAATCTGGGAACTAGAGGCTAAAGCAAAAGGATGATGAGTTCAAGGCCGACCTGGGCTGCACAGTGAGTCTTGGGAGACAGTTGTTTAGAACTCATGAAAGTAGGCACAGTTCAGGTGAGCCTGTGTGTGAAGGCAGAGGCTGTGTGTCTTACACATTTGTTTGTTTGTTTGTTTTCTCTTTCTCTTTTTAAGCCATTTAAAGTTTTGGCAACTGAAACTCTAAGTGAAAAGGCGTTAGATGCAGATGTATACAGTGCCATTGCAACAGAAAAAGTGGATGGAACATGTTGTTATGTTACTAACTACAAAGGTAAAATACAACTATCACGTTTACTAAAAGTATTATCTTAATCATTGTTTAAATCCTGTACATCTAGGATGGGTATTTACTCTTCATGAACTATTAAAACCTAACTGTAGTAGTTGAGTGAAAAATCACAGTGGTTGTATTTATGTCTCTTGGGGAAAGAAAGACTGGTGACTAACATTAACTTGAAATTCCCATGAAAGGCTAGGCAGCCTAATAGATAGGTCTTGTATGTTCCCTCATTTGCATAATAAACATTTCTGTATCCCTAATGAGGAAACTGAGTCTCAGCCAGGTTTAGTAATTTGTCTAAGACCATTCAGTTAATGAATGGCTGAACAGTGACAGGACCTGGGTTTGTCCAGCCCTGGAACTTGTTCTTATTCTAACACCCTAAGCTTCCAGTGCTTTCATTAACATTGGCCAGGTCTCTGGTCAGTTACACACTTTGAAAGAGAAGTTCACATTGATGATATTAAGGGAAAAAGGCACACTGAAAAGAAAACTATTGTTTGTAATTACTAATGAACGGTGAGATTGACTCTCAGTTCTGGTAACAAAAATAGATAAATGAGCTCGATTTATTTCTTAGTGTCAAGAAATATCCTGAAATGCACTTTAAAAACTTTCAACTTGTGATAAGATAAAAAATTGCCATTATAACTGTACTTTACAATGATATGTAACTCAGCAGCATTAAGGACATTCACATGGCTGTAGTGATATCATCCCCACTCATCTCTAGAATTAAAACAGCTTGTTGGGAACCCCCTCATACACCCTACCTCCACAGAGCCCATCTCTTAGGCCTTAGTTGATTCTACTTTCTAACTATAGGTAACTCAAGTAAATGGACTCAAAAGATATTTGTCTCTTTATGACTGGGTTACTTGTTTAGTTCAGTATTTTACCATGTTAGAGTATATCAGATTGCACACATTTTTTCTTAAATTGCTTAATATGTACATAGCACATTTTGTTCATCCATTCAGTCACTGATAGGCATTTAGGTTGCTCCAACCTTTATGCCATCGTGGATAATACAATTAATATGCTAAATTAGTCTCCAGTATTTTGGGGAGTTATGAACCTGTACATGGGATTACTAGATCATATGTTAATTCTAATTTAGAAAATTTGAGTACCCATCATACATTTTCCATAATGGTCACACAGAAGGTCTGGCTTCCAGATGTTGCAATTTGTCCATATACCTAGTAGGACTATTACTACTATTACTATTATTTGGTGATAGCTAATGGATATGAGTGGAATCCATTTTATATGTTTACCAATAAAAAGAAAAAAGTATTTAACCAGAAACAATATAATTTTAATCTAGTTCTTTATATTATGTATATGCATAGCTAGTCATAGTATTATAGTATAATTAAAAATTTTATAAATCTTTGACCCTTATATTTGAGTAAGATTTATCAGGCTCTTATATTAAAAAATCTTTAGTGTGTATCATGTGTGAGGTGCATGATGGGAGCAATTAGAGTGTTGGAACTTTACTGCTCAAGAATGCTCACAGGACCAAAGATAACAAATGGATAAATACATAATAAAACAAGGATTTCAGAAGCAAGGTTGTCACAGAGCAACAGGGATGATGCCAAGGAAAATCTGTATTTTGTCCTGCTGTGTTCAGGTCACACTTCAGAATCAGGAACTCAAGGTGGAGTCTTAGATGGGGGACACTCTGCTTTTGCTTGTCCTGTAGGCATCTTCCCGTTTAGTAAGCAGTGGCAAGAGCAAGCTAACCAGGAGTCTCACTGAAACCAGATGCAATCCAGAAGTCTCACTTTTAGCAATACAGAATATTGGCACAGTGCCCTGAGACTACGCTCCCCCCCAGGGTTACAGGAAGCCCTCGTCATCAGTGTGCCTAATGACCTGGCCATGCCAGACAGGTCACCTTGATTTCATATCTGCCAGAATTGACCCCACATTGCAGTGTGATATTCAGGGGATGTGTGAACACAGCCACCTGGTTCTGCTCTCATTTGGAGAATGTAGGGAAGGACCGTGGACCATTCTGATAAAAGGAGCATGCATTTTTCTCACAATGGTCATTTAACAAAGTACGCCCTCACACACTAGGATGCTGACTTGTAGGTCATCTTGTATTTCCTTTGTCCTTCAGGGTTGGTCTTCTTACAGAGCAAACTACTGTTTATTGGTTCTTTTCCTCTGAAATATCTTGCAAGATGAAGTTTGTTTCCTCTTGACTTTCCCTTTTATTACTGTGGTTTTAGGTCAGCCATACCTTTGGGCTCGACTAGATAGAAAACCTAACAAGCAGGCTGACAAAAGATTTAAAAAATTTCTACATTCAAAAGAAAGCTCAAAAGGTTAGTGGGTTTTTTTTCAAACTTTTCATACAGTTGAAATTTGTGGTTTATTGCTATGGTTCTTCTTTCTCTCTCTAGATCTATCTATCTTGAGGAAAATTCACTTTTAGGGATAAAACATTGGCACAGAGCCCCCCTCCCACACACACCCTCTACACACCTATACAAATACTGAAAACCATTTTTCCAACCTTTCTGTAACTTCTTTATAGTATCAATCTATTCTGTTTAAACATAGTGTTATAGTAAGAGATACATTTTCATTTGGTTTACATGAGAAAAATAATTTACTGAGTTGTGTTATAACTATCAAAGGATAATATTTTATTACTGCATTGATGCCTATATTATACATATATACTTATTACCTATTTATACTCATATATGTAACATATATATATATATATATATATATATATAGTATTGTATAGAGATTATATTAAAACTCATAAATCTCATTCAGGAGGCAGAGGCGGGTAGATCTCAGAGTTCGAGGCCAACCTGGTCTACAGAGTGAGATCCAGGACAGCCAAGACTATTACACAGAGAAACCCTATCTCGAAACACCCAAAAAATGAAGAAATTAAAAACTCACAAATCCTCAGAAAATGTTGGCTACTTTAGATTGCAATGTGTTTAAGTGGTAGTGTAGTGAAAGTTGAAAATTTCCAGTGTTAGTACCCTAATTTGGAGCGTAACCACACTGCAGTGATAGTAGAGAGTACCTTCCACATATGAGAGTGATGTGTTTCCTACTTCCACTTTGCATCTGTTCTGTATGTGATGTCTTAAAGTAACAGCGTAAAATTGACTGACTCTCTGTAGAGTTTCTTTGGAACACCGAGGAAGATTTCAAACCTGTCCCAGAGTGTTGGATACCAGCAAAGGAAATAGAACAACAGAATGGGAAACCAGTACCTGATGAAAACGGACACATTCCTGGTATCACATAACCATTTTGTGTTCAGTGTAAGAAACAAACAAACAAACAAGCCCAGTCAGACATTCGTTTTAATCTAGCTTTTCATCTTATTTATAGTGGAAATTTCTGAATCAAGTGTATTGAAAAGTCTTAACAGTTTATATCAAAGACATAGGAAGCAATGCCCTTTCTGGTTTGAATCTTTCTCAAGGATGAGCGTATTTTGTAAGATGTTTGCTCAGAGTGGCCTGTTTCTTTCATTTGCAGCAAGTTTTCTGTATTGAGGGAACTTATTCTAGCAATAAGAGTAAAAACAGTAACAGCAAATAGGGAACTGATAAATTGTTCAGCATGATTGGGACAATGACAGGAACTGTGGAGCGCTTACTGTATATATTTGTTATCTTTGACACTGGAAGGGTGCTGCAGAGACCTCAGTTTATTAAATGAAAAACCATGACAATACCAGGCAGGAGCGAGAGTGACCAGTTAGAAAAGATACTAAAATAAAATTTAAAAAAAAAAAAAGAAGAAGAAGAAGAAGTTTAATGCTATCTTAGTATAGTGCTCAGTTGCTCCTGAACCAAGATGATTTTTTTTGAAGAATATGTTTAATTCATAGTAATACCCCTACAGAATAAGCAAATGAACCCTTTATGATTATCAAGAAAAATAGTAAAATTGTTAGCTTTCCCACGGATTTTAAGTGTCTGTACGATAGGGAATCTAGAAAATAAAGAGTATTAGTAACAAATAAATAAATGCCTATATCTTGTAATAGAACCCATGTGATAGAAGTAACTTTTCTTGAAATACCAGGTTGGGTGCCCGTGGAAAAGAACAGCAAACAGTACTGCTGGCATTCGTCTGTAGTGAACTACGAGTTTGGAATTGCCCTGGTACTACGGCATGATCCCGACAAGCCTGGACTTTTGGAAATCAGTGCCGTGCCCCTGTCAGAGCTTTTAGAGCAAACCCTGGAGCTGATAGGAACAAATATCAATGGGAACCCATACGGTAAGGGAAGATGTTTTCGAAAGAGAACTTCCTAAGGTCAACTTGAGAAACATACTGAAGCAGCAACTAATGCATGTGCATCCACTGCCTAGGAGCATATCCTTTTCTGCACATCTTCGGCTCAAGAGAAATTTTATGCATGGCTAATCATTATGATTTAATAATGCAAAAAGCTGACTTTATCCTATTATCCTTCCCTGTGGTAGCTTTAACAACTGTGCATGAAACGCAATTAACTGAGATGTAGCTTTTTATTGCTGTATAAGTTTTAGGTGAGTTAGTTGGGTGAAAATGCACTGTGCTGTTAGGTCATTACTTTAGCATTAATAAATATAGGCAAGAGTAAGTAAGACTTGGCAACAGATACTGTATAAAGCATCAGAATTTATACCATAATGAATTGAGTAAATCAGTGGCATTCTGGAGTACAGAATTGAAAGGAGAATCATAAAATAGAATAAGGACTCTGAAGCTGTAATAATTGTAGAGAGATCAAAAGCGGATTGAAGGTGTAGGGAGGTAGCCCAGTCCATAAAGTTCAGATCCCTAACACCCTTGTTAAAAGCTGAGTGACAGTGGTGTGTGCCAGGCCAAGAGCCAGAGAGGCATAGATAGGAGGCTATCTGGGCCTTGCAGGGCAGACAATGTAGCCTAATCATTGAGCTTCAAGTATAGTGAGACACACACCCTTTTTCAAAATATAAGGTGGAAAGCAACTGAACAAGATACTCAGTGTTGACCTCCTTCCTGTCTCCACAGTGCAGTTGCACGAACATGCACACACCTCTGCTCCACAGAAACATGTATGTGAACACACATACACACATTTAAGTAGGTTGATTGATGGGTATTAAGTTTACATACAGAATCAAAGATGTTATTAGGTAAACACTGAATAATAGCAGAATGTAGCTAATGATATAGCACATGCTAGCAAGTTTTCTCTGTAAAAATGTTCAATAGCCTGTATTTTCAGCTTTGTTAACCATAATTTTGAAATGGACTATCAGTAGTACTTACATGAATGGATAAGGCTGCATTCCATTGAAACCACTTACAATAGGTGTCTGTCTGGACTTGGTCCACAGGTCAGTGTGCCAAGTCCCAGTGTAGAGAGTACATGAAAGTACAACTTAGAGGTTTGGGAAGAAGTGTCACTTGAGTGAGAACAGGACGAAATGCACTTTGGATTATTCTTTACAGAAAATCAAACTTTTTGTTAACATTACTCTTAAATGTTTAGACACTTAGACATTTTCTCTTTCTGAAAAGAATATGATTGAAAATGGTTAATGGCAAGTTTTACCATTTAGGGCTAGGAAGCAAGAAATATCCATTGCACTTTCTTATACCCCACGGAGCCTTCCAAGTAAGAAATGTGCCCGCGCTGAAGCACAATGACTTGCTGTCCTGGTTTGAAGACTGCAGAGAGGGGAAAATCGAAGGGATCGTGTGGCACTGTGGTGATGGCTGTTTACTTAAGGTAATGACAGAAACAGCTTGCTTGGGATTCCGTTCTTCACAGAACGATGTGACGCTCAGATTCTCCGGATGGATTTTTATTAATTTTTGGCATGCAGTTAGTGTAACTCCTCTAATTTTTATAGGCTAAAACAGAATTGAGCTTAGGGCAGTGTCAGAGTGCACAGTCCACAGATGGCGGTGTCTGGCTGGGCACTGGCTCTACTGGATGTGCTTCCGAGTTAAAGTGATAACACACTCCCCTCCGGGGAGCTCATGTGGCACACTGTGTTCTCTGAGACATGCTGTGCCTATTTTAACTCGGCACTTCCTAAACTAACTTATTAGGGAGTTTGCGGAGTAAAAAACATGCCAAGCAGCAGCTGACACAGAATGAATGATCTTCTGCTTTGTGCCCTTTTCCCTAGACTGACATGTCTGCTTGATTTCTCACTGGTATAGGAAATTCATAATGTTCCAAACTGAATCTGTTCTTCTCACTCCTAGCTCCACATTGTTCCCTGAACTTAGAAACCTGGATTCATTGTTAGTAAGCTCTCTCCCCATTGCTTCATGCATCTGGTTGTTATCAGTTCTTGAAAAGTCTGTTCTTTACACTCAACCAGGCGCTAATTTTAATTTAGGCCAAGAGTCTTGCTTGAATTATTACTATATTGTGGTCCCTAAAACCTTCATCTTTCAATTTTAACCCCATCGTGTTGATTCTTCACAAATGAATGGCATTACGTCCTGCATAATGCTGTGTAGGTACGTTAAGACTTTCCATGGTACAGGCCCTTCTTAACTTCCTGTAACTGCTTTCCATTAGCATCTTTGAAAACATAATTGTGTGTATTGTGTGACTGTATACTCCTGGGGAGACAGGAACATTCATTTGCCACAGATAACGTGCTGAGGACAGACCTAAGAAAGGATTCCATCCAAGTGGAGCTCAGTGAGCCAGTGACTTTACTGGGGTTACTTTCAGGATGTGGGTGAGGAGCTGCTTACAAGGAGCATGGCAGACCCAGAGGCAGCAGCATCAATCAGAAGCCCTCCTGGCTTCAGTGATGACTCACAAAGGCGGCCTCCTGGGGACTCCCTGCACGACTTGCAGGGGGCTGGCAGCACCTTTGGTGAAAGGAGAACCTTCTCTCCAGCGATTGTTAGTGTTCTTGTACCCTTGCAGTGTCTTGGGACTCTTCAAAGCTTCGGGGATCTTCCTGAGACTTGTGAAGGTTTGCTTCCTTCTGAGTCTTAAGAACCTTCCTCCAGAGAGGATGTTTTCGTGTGGAGGAAACAGCTACCCAACAATGTCCTAACCAACTGGAATCCCAGACTCCCCTGCCATTCTACCATTAATATTCCCTTTGGTAATACTAGATTCTGGTTCACAGATTTCTCTTCTTGTATTCACCAAGACACTTATATCCATTAAATTTTGGAGGAGCCCTTGATTATGTTCCTGGCATTTTTAAGGTACTGGAAGAGTGAACAAAATAATTTCTCTGCCTTCAGGAAGCTCATATTCTAATGGGAAAGATAGCCAGCACTATGTCAGAGAACAACTATGGCATTGAGTTAAAATAAGAGTAATTTAAGGTAGATCCTTGCATTGTACCTGGCAGGTAGCAGGCACCCAAAGTAAGTATTTACAAGTAAATTACGATGCTATTTACAGACTAAAGCTGACACCACTTTTTCCTTCTTATAGGTCCATCGCCATCATCTTGGTTTATGCTGGCCACTTCCAGATACTTACATGAATTCCAAACCAGTTATTATTAACATGAATCTGAACAAGTATGACTGTGCATTTGATAGTGAGGGTTTGTTTAATCGGTTTTCAAAATTAGATAAACAGAAATTTGATAGGCTTAAAGATATAATACTTGATGTATAAAATGGAAATATAGTTAGAATTATTGCAAACAGTCTGCTATTTTACAGAGGTTAAAATAACTCAAGGGTCTATTTAATTTTGCTAGGTATTTGACAAAATATGTATAAATTCTAAACATTTATGTATCTGTATTTAAAGAAACCATGGGATTTGAATATCTTAACACAAAAATAAATATAAAATAATTCCATCTGAAACTTCCATTTTAAATGGTAAAATTGTTAAGCTTACCTTTATGCTTTTAGAAAATTTAAGACATTATAAAAATAGGGATATCTATCATAGCTCATTGTGCACTATACAGTCATAAATTATTCATGTTTTCAAAAATATACTTTTCTACCAAGTTAAAACTAAATATGATTTTATTTTTAAGCAAAAATACAGTATTTTGAGATGAATTCTATAGTTCAGAGACTTCTTGATTTCCAGCTGAAACTTTTAAACTTATAAAATAGTTTTAAATCTACAGTTAAATGTGGTCTTTAATAAATAGGGAAACTATTAGGACTTTCTCTGTCTTCTGTCTGTTCAGAAGCTTCAACAGGGCTAGGTAATTCAAATCCAAATTGTTCGGAAAGTTTTTGTAACTTCTCTTCTAATAGAATATTTTTTTTCACTTCTTCCTTATAATTGTACTTCAGGTCTTCAATTTCTTCAAAAAATGAAGGATCAAAATTTTCCAGTTCTTTTTTCAGCTTTTTAATTTCCTCCTGAAAGTCACATGTAGAAATACATATTTTTGGCTTGCCATTTAGGAGCTTTGATTACAAACATGAAAACCCAAATAACACAAACAGTAAAATATCAAGAAAAGTATTTAAGACTTTTGTTAATAAGGTTCCATTGTACCACATCAATAACTTAGCAGTGGCCATCTCTGGCTGAAGTTTATGAGTGCTTCCATAGCTTTGGGATAGAATCTTTCTCTGAACTGCATCAGATAGTCTCAGTGAGGCAAACAAAAGGGACTCTTCTCTTCACTACACTGAAGTTCCTGTCTTCAGAGTTTTCAGTATTTTCTTTACAGTTCTAACTTTTTTACTTTTATAAATAATGTTTATGGGAATCCCGGGACTTGTAAAAGTCAAGCACCCGGTGAAGAGAATGTGTCCATGAACGGCTGTTTTCACTACCCAGTGATGAGGCAGGGCTCACTTCCAGACTCTTGTGCTTCTGGGTCTTAAGGTAGAGCACAGAAATGTTTTAAGGGAAAGATCCCTGGACATAATTCCAAAAGGTACTTAGAAACACTGTTTCCAACATGACCTACAAATTAAAACATTTAAAAACTGTACATTTGTTATAATTTAAAAATAAATTTATTCTCTAGACCTTTCTATTTGTCTGATTTTTCTGTTGTTGCTAGCTGCTGTTTAATAAAAAGTTGTCATGAGTGACATTATGTACTTAGTAATATTAAGGTAAGTGTGAAATGAATCCATGAATTTTTAGGCACATACTTAAACATGGTGATCATAAAAATTGTTTCCCAAAGCTGTTTTTACAAAATACTGGCAATACTCAAGTTAGATATAAGTAAGAATTACCTTCAAGTGCTGCTTTTCTAGGTCTGACTTTGTGAGCTGGGTCTCCAAGTCATTTATCTTTTCCTTTTGTTGACCAGTATCTGCCAAAATAGTTGTGAAAATTAGACTCATCTTTTTATTTACTGTGAATGACTTAGAGGATTTGTTTCAGAATAAACAGGAAATGTATGAAGCCTACAGTCTGAAATCATCTGGCACTGCATGGCGGGAACACTGCTCAGGTAGTGTACCACTAGTAGGAAAAGTCATTCTACAGCAAGCAGACAGAGGGGTGTAGCAGGAATCTTAAATGGTCTTATTAATAAAATCAAACCTGAGGCCAGTTACTGTGGTGAATGCTGGAAGATCAGAGAAGCAGAACAAGCCACAGCCACCTCACCTCGCCAGTTTCTCAGCTGATCCCGTTTCCTCAGACTGGATGCCTCTGATTTCTCATCTAAATAGATCCAGCTGAACTGTTGCTCAAAAGCCTAAAAGCTTAACCAGCTAAAAGCTTCTAGTTTCTGGTCTTCACGCCTTATATATCTTTCTGCCATCACTCCCTGGGATTAAAGGCGTGTGTCACCATGCCTGGCTGTTTCCAACTGTGGCCTTGAACTCAGAGATCTAGAGTGATTTCTGCCTCTGGAATGCTAGGATTAAAGGTGTGAGTGCCACCATATTCTAGCCTTTGTATCTAGTGGCTGTTCTGTTCTCTGACCCCAGATATGTTTATTAGGGTGCACAATATTTGGGGGAACACAATACCACCACAGAGGGGTAGCTGCTAGGTATTAGAAATATGGGTTATATAAATATGCCTTTATATGAGAGAAATTTCTACTTTTGAGAGAAAAATCCTGCAACCAGTAAAATTTGTTAGGTACAAAATATCAGGCAAAGGACTAAAGGTAAGCTGGCCATTTATGCCTTCTACCCCAAATAGCTTTGGCTATTTGCATTTAGGTTTGTTTGCACTATGTGCAGAACGTCTAAGACAAGGTGTGTGGCACACACAGATGAAGGAGTGCAGTCCTGCTGGTTGGGTAGGAAATGAGCTGTTGATACACAGCACAAAGGTTAGGATACAAAGTGTCATGCCACACTGCAAACATTGAAAGGTAAAGCGTTTTGTTTTAATGTTAAAGTTTGAGGAAATAATGAAAACAAGTTTTCATGATAAGGACAAGAAGTGTATTATAGTGCTCTGGGGTGGTCCCCTATAACTCAGAAACAGAGAACAAATATAAGCAAGGTTTCAAATCATTAAAAAAAAAAAAGCATTTTCCTACATAAGAAGAAAAGTTGTAATTTTAGTCTTCTAAGACTGGCCTATTTTACTGAGCAAGATGATCTATAGTTCTGTTTTCCTACAAATATTTTTATGGCTTATAAAACATAGATATAGATATAGATCTCGCACATTTTATCAGTATATCAGTTGATGGACACATAGGCTGATCCTATATCCTGGCTACTGTGAGTAGTGCCCTAATAAACGTGAGTATGCACATATCTGTTAATTTGTTCATAGTCACTGAGCTCCTATATATTACACAGATTGGTGGTTAAACACCGAAGCAAGAAAACATGTATAACATCTTCCTAAGGTTTTTAAACATCCTCATCTTTAAATGTTGATTTAGGAACGTCCAAATAGGTTGATTTTGAAGCAGGGTACGCTCTGAAATGTGACTGGTATCTTTCCTCCCTTCTCTTAAGATGTAAACAATACAAGGGCTGGGCTTAGATAAATTAGAGAATGAATAGGTCTTTGGTACTATGCTTGTTAAAGTACACAAGACTATCTACTAGCAGTCACACCTCTATTCCAGATGGATGAATGCTGATTTTAGTTATCAAAAAGCACAGTAGCACAGTGGTTAAGACCCCGGCATGGTAAGGCGTTCTGAACTTTCATAGAATTAATGTTTAACCTTCCTATGCCACTTCCTAGTTGTTGTGATCTTGAGAACAGGTTACTAATCATTTCTAAAATGGAAAATGAAGACAAAAATACCAATCCTATGGCATTATAAGAATAAACATTTTGTAAAGCCCTTAGCATAGTACCTGGCACAAATCAGACCACGCGTTAATACAAAGTAGCATCAACTCTACAGCAACTCTATGAAATAGTTTAAAATTATTCAGCTATAAATTGGTATAATCCTGTAGGGTAGAACATGAAACTTCTATCAAAACTCTCAGATAATGGCATGATTAGGTTAGGTGATACAGTGTAATTATCATGCCAGAAGCTTTGGAACTACACTAAAAATCCATCCTGGGGTAAACTACTCACTATCCATTCAATAGCATACTACAGAATTAGTAAAAACATGAATGGTATACAGGTCTTAAGAGATCTCTGCAGTAAGATAAAAGCAGCAAGAGAAGTTAAAATATAGCATGAATCTAGAAAAAATTACATATAACTAAATACACACAAAAGGTCTATTCTCTTTTATTGTTAAAGTTTTATCCTGTTTGGTACGATTTGCAAATATCAAACCATGGTTCCTAGGAGAAATGCAAATGCATGCAAGCATATGCATAAACATACACACTCAAATTGTCATCGATTATATTTAGTTTCAAACGAATATGTTTGGAAGTGTTAAGCCACCTTTCTGAGCTAAGATTCAAATCCCAACAGGCTACAGTGGTACCCAGTACTCCATCCTAGGTCATCTCTGAAAGAAAATTGAAACAAAAATGCGCCAAGCACCACCTTGTTGGCCCTAGGGTGGGGATATGGGGGGCGCTACTTAATTTTGTCACTGTGTCTGATTGCAAAAACATTGTGAGTTGATTTGGGGAATTTAAATGTGATAAAGTTACATTTGCAAATATGGATCTGCAAATAATGATCAACTGTATTCTGTATGTGTTCATATACACACACAGATGTTTTGTATGTAACTGTTATATATAGGGGAATGACTGCTAATTTCAGAATAGGGATTGAAAGGAATAAGAGGAACATTTTTAATTGCAACAGAAAAAAATAGTACTGTAGTTTTCAATAAGACAACAATTAGTAATATTCAGAAGAAAATGTTCACAGGGATTGAAGGACCTATACTTAGAAACTGAAAGCAAATGACAGCATCCATTGCTTGGTAATATACTATGATTAAGTCTGTAACACCTAGATGGATCACAAGGAGAAAAAGTTGGGCCACTTAGTATAGCAATTCAAAGTGTTAAATGGGAATATTAACATAGCCTGAGAGAGAGCAGCTCTACATACTCTGACCAGTATACTATACTGGTCCAATACTGTAGAAACTGGTTGATACTATAGAAACACACAAAAGACAAGCCCGAAATAAAAAACTTGAGATAGCCAACAAGTTTTATGAAATACATTACCAGGTGTGCTGCTTTCAGCTCCAGTTTGGTCCTTGTAAACTTCTATCTGATGGATTAATTCTGCCTTTTCTTTATCCAGCTGACTGTTGGCTAGTCTAGAATACAATGATAGCATGTTAGAAAAATAAACAATTGCCATGGGATAATCCTCTTGTACACTGTAAAGATTTGTCACTCGAAATGGTTTAATAAAATGCTGATTGCCAGTAGCCAGGCAGAAAGTACAGGCAAGGCAACCAAACTAAAGATGATGGGAAGGAGAAGGGTGGAGTCAGGAGTTGCCAGCCAGATACAGAGGAAGCAGGAGATGAACATGCCATGCTAATAAAGGTACCACCATGTGGAAAAGCATAAATAAGGAATATGGGTTAACTTAAAATGTAAGAGCTAGTTAGTAATAAGCCTGAGCTATTGGAAACGTCCTCCACCACTCTGTAAAGTACGCAGGCATTTCCTATAAAGTGTGTGGTATACAGTCCTCAAAACAACGTTTCATCAAGCTGATTCTGGTGACGTATGCTGTAGGATATGCTTAGGAGACGGCAGCAGGATCATCGAGGTAAGCGTTTACTCTCTAGGCTTCCTTGCTTCATTCCCAAACAACACAAAATCTTTAAGTTTTCACTAATCTCATTCCTGAGGTTATTTTCAAGAGTACTTTTTTTACAATGAGAGGAGGCTGCAGAAACTCCTAGGAGCATGGAATTACTTATTTCTCTTTCATTAGGATTTGTTTCTGCAATGCTAAAGTTTAATTTTATGCTGCTAGAGAAATTTAAGTTATAATTTGGAAATACTAATATTGGGTCCCTCCTCCTTTCTGTGTCCAGACAGAATGATTATATAAGAAGGGTAAAATAATAATCAACTTTGAAAACTCTAGTCTTCAGGTGTAGCAAATTGGGTTGTGTAAAGTAATTTTCTAAAAATAAATAAATGCTAAGGTGGCTCAGTGGATAAGGGTGCATGGTGGGAAGCTGATGACCTGATTTCAATACTTGGAATGAAAGAACCAACTCTTGCAAGTTGTCCTCTGGCCTTCCTTCACAGGTGGCATGCACATACCGCACCCTCCCCCAGCATGTACATGTGTACACACGCACAAACACTCACATACAAAGATGTTAATATTTAGGTAGTCAAATAAACATAATAACATATGTACCTAAGGAGCTGGAGTTCCCGTATAAGCCCTTCATCTGTCTCCACACCTTCAGGAACATTTTTGAGGATCTCAATCTTTGAGCACAATGAAAAGTTAGTTAGAAGATAAAAGTTCAGCATAGAAATAAGTTTTTTTTTTTTTTTTGGTTTTTTCGAGACAGGGTTTCTCTGTGTAGCTTTGCGCCTTTCCTGGAACTCACTTGGTAGCCCAGGCTGGCCTCGAACTCACAGAGATCCGCCTGCCTCTGCCTCCCGAGTGCTGGGATTAA